TGGAAATTTTTTTTTTTTGAGAGGGGGAGAGTTTCAGTCTTGTCACCTAGGCTGGAGTGCAATGGTGCAATCTTGGCTCACTGCAAACCTCCGCCTCCCAGGTTCAAGCAATTCTCCTGTCGCAGGCTCCTGAGTAGCTGGGATTACAGGCACCAGCCACCACGCCTGGCTAATTTTTGTACTTTTAGTAGAGATGGGGTTTCACCACATTGGCCAGGCTGGTCTGGAACTCCTGACCTCAGGTGATCCGCCCGCCTCGGCCTCCCCAAGTGCTGGGATTACAGGCCTGAGCCACTGGACCCGTCCGCTATGTGGAAATTAAAAGGTAAAAAGAGAAATTAAAATTCGTCAAAGGGTATTTGACCATTCATAGCTACTCAGACAAATTTTAAACCATTTTTCAAAATAACTCCTCTCATGATGAAGGTAGGTTCACCCCCCTCCACTTTTGCAACCTTCCACACTTGAAAAACTGAGTAGTTACCACTGATGTCCATCATCCCACCATGCAAGGGCTCCTAAAAGGTCAGTGTCATTGTTTTTTCAAAGAATTCACTCCCAGCTCAAATTACGTCTACTTCGGGCTTGCCAATTGTTGACATGTTTTCTCAGGGGTTTAGGCTTGCTAACAAAAAATAAAAGCTTCTGAGGAACTGATTTCACAGGTCTAAAGATAGTATCATCGCTCTTTGGTATGAATTGGTACATTATGCTTGGACAATGAGGAATTCCCTCTCATTAACTTGGCTGATCAGGTTGGCTGCTGATCAATCTAGGAGATGGCATAGTAAGTGCTCTGGGAACCTGCTGATTAAGAAGCCCTAAAACGCCGCGACATGAGTATCTTCATTCATGAATTCTGCAAAGGGAGTGGGAGGAATTCTTTAACTTGGGGTGAGGTTACTAGTCAGCTCCAGACTATGCCATCTCCAGAACGGCAGGAACGGCTCACTGGCGAGACGAATGAATGCTGGGTCCTAACGGATGCTTAAAATGTCTATTTCTCATCTTTTTCAGTAGCAGGCGCACTGGGCACAACACCCACCACAGGCACTGTCAACCCCACGGCCTGATCTGACTCAGGTCAGAACAGGGCATGTTTCCGCCTCCTACTCTCGGAACCTACGGCAGCGCAACACTCTCAGTGATAATCAGCTCGGTCCGGCTCTAACTGCCTTCTAGATCCTCGCCGGTACCTTTCCTGCCCACAAGCGCCTTCCTCTGTACGCGGCAGGACCCAGGAGCTGGCGCCCGCGTGCTAGGGGCAGAGGCCCGAGATGATTAGGTTGGGGGCGCGGCCGCCCAGCGTCCTGGAGTGCACCCAGACCCCCGACTCCTCAGCCCCGAGCTGGGGCGAATGAGGCTTCCCCAGGGGCTGGGGCCTCGAGGCCACGCCCACAGCCGGGGCCCAGGGGAGCAAACCAGCAGTTGCCGGCTCCGGGAAGCTCTCCCGGGCGGCGGAGCTCTAGCAAGGACCCCAGCTACATGCCCTCGACCCCAGGAGCTGCGAGCCTCGCTTCCTGCTCCTTTCGCTGTATACTGACAGTTCTCGGCCGGGCTCTACCTCTGGAAAGCCCAACCTGGTCCCGACAGTGGCTTCGGGCCCGGGACCCCCGACGCCGCCCGCCCGGGTGCGAGCCTCGCCCCCCGAAGCTCCTGACCTCCGAGTCTTTGCGCTGGTTGCGGTTGAACTCCCGGGCTTTGCCCCCAGGAAGGAGGCCCGCGCCGGCCCGCGGTGCCCCGGGTGGTGGCTGTGCGGTTGCCGGCGGCGGAGGTGGCGGAGGCTGGGGCTGCTTGTTGTTCACGATCAGTGGGCCCGGACTGCCGGCTGCCGGCTCCATCTTGGCTGCTCCACACCCCCAGGTTGACTCGGGGACAACCGCCGTGATGCAAGTCTCGCGTGATTTTCTCGAGGAAATGTCCCTGGCCGCCATATTAAGTGTGGCGGCCAATGTCAGAAGCCATCTTGGTTGACCAACACCTCCCGATATTCTGTCTGCAGCCCTTCCGTTGTTGATCTTTTTAGTTTTCCTCCTAACTTTCAGTTTCAGTTTAGAAGTAATTTTATCTGTGAGGCTTCCCTGAGCTTCTTCAGTTTAGTTACCCCTCCTTCCTCTAAATCGCTTTGCACTTATCACTGATAGCCTTGTTCAAGGCTTAGGCGGAATTTTGTAATGAACAAAATGGATAGGATCCTAGTCTTCACAGAGTTGCAGTTGTGACAAGTGCTAATCATTCAACAAACATTTGATAAATGTCTCCTGTGCACCAAGCAGTGGGATAAGATGATGAACAAGTGTCTGCAGTCATGGTACATAACAGTGCTTGGTGAGTCAGACAAACAATAGACAAATATAGAGAAATAAATGCTAAAAAGTGTTAAAGGAAAATTTGTTCACGGCCCTAATTAAAGATGGTAAGGCAGACTTTGTGTGAGAGAGCCCATGGTGATAGTTACAGGGACCACTACAACCAGACCTTGCAGTGAAGAAGAGGAATTAGACTCAACTCTGACTCCAACAAGAAACAGTGGAGATTTATAACCAAAGAGCAGGATGACGGTCAGTGGACGGAAAACTGTCATGCCCGACCGTGTGAAGAGACCACCAAACAGGCTTTTTGTGAGCAACATGGCTGTTTATTTCACCTGGGTGCAGGCGGGCTGAGTCTGAAAAGAGAGTCAGCGAAGGAAGATAAGGGTGGGGTCGTTTTACAGGATTTGGGTAGGTAAAGGAAAATTGCAGTCAAAGGGGGGTTGTTCTCTGGCGGGCAGGAGTGGGAGTCAAAAGGTGCTCAGTGGGGGAGCTTTTTGAGCCAGGATGAGCCAGGCACAAGATAATGTCATCGCTTAAGGCAAGGACCGACCATTTTCACTTCTTTTGGGGTGGAATGTCATCAGTTAAGGCGGGGCAGGGCCTTTTTCACGTTTTTTGTGATTCTTCAGTTACTTCAGGCCATCTGGGCGTATAGGTGCAAGTCACAGGGGATGCGATGGCTTGGCTTGGGCTCAGAGGCCTGACAAAAACTACTAAGAGAAACATCAAGGATAAGAAGTTTCTTGCTAAACTGACTTAACAGGATTATTGCTGAAAGCAGGACAGGGTGCTAAGATGTTGAGGGTGGTCAGATACCGAGTGCTATGGTTTGACTGTGTCCCCCAAATTCCATACGTTGGAAACTCAATCCTAAAGTTCATATGTTGATAGTATTTGGAGGTGGAGCCTTGAAGGGGTAACTAGGATTAGATAAAATATCAGGGTAGGGCCCCTGTGATGGGACTGGTGGCTTTATAAGAGGAAGACGAGTGATCTGAGCTGGCACACATGCTCTTGCTCTCTCATCGTGAGAGGCTCTCTACCATGCAGTTTAAGAAAGCCCTCACCAGATGCAACCCCTCGACTTTAGGCTCCCCAGACTCCAGAACTGCAAAAAATAACTTTCCTTACTTTATAAATTACCCTCTTTGGTATTCTGTTATAGCAACAAAAAATGGACTAGGACGCCAAGAGTGGAGAGTTCTTGCACAAACTGGATTCAACAAGGACAGAAAGGGAAGCCCAAAGGGTTAGGCCTAGTCAGGCAGAGGACTAACAGGAGCCTGACTAGAGTTTTGGCCAAAGAAGAGAATCTTTGTTAGAAGAAACAAAAATTAAGAGGTTAAAAGGTGGCAGTGGGGCGGGGGACGGGTTGGTGGAGGCGGAGAATGTGGCTATAATACAAGCATGCTGCCCAGGGAAGGCCTGAGGGTGTGATTTTAGATGAGTTCTGAAAGAAGTGAGGAGAAGCCCTGCAAAGTTCCAGGAAGGGCACACAGACAGAGGAAACGGCTAAATGCAAAAGCCCTGATGTTAGAGTGTCTGGAATTGAGTGAGCCAAGGGAGGGATAGTAGTTGATGAGAGCCATATAATGATAATGCAGGGACCAGAAGAATGCAGGGCCTTGAAGGTAGTGGGAAGGAGTTTGAATTTTATTCTAAGTGAAATGGAAAACCATTTGAGGGTGTTAACCACGGAGATGTTATGGTGTGATGTTTACAAGTTCAATCTGGCTGCTTTTGGAGAAGGGATTGGAGAGTTGCAAGAGTGGATAAGGCAAGACAAGTTAGGGGACCATGTAGATGGAGAGGATGGTACTTGTACCAGAGTGGAGCGTTGGGTTGATATTTCTATTTTGTGTAGGTAGGGGGACAGGATTTGCTGGAATCTGATCAGCTGGGTGGGGGGAATAAACAATGACCCCCTAGATCTAGGTTTGGGCAACTGAGTGGATGGCTGTATCACTTTAATAAATAAGTAAGCCCAAGAGTAAGAAAAACAGGTTTAGAGGAAAGATCAAGACTTCAGTTTTGGACACATCAAGTTCGAGATACTCATCAGACATCTTAGAAGTGTTGTGTGATAATAGCTCTTACTATTATCTGTTGTTATACTGTGAAATCCTTAAAGGCATTTTATCTATCTTTGTCTCTCCAGCTTTACATATTGCCTGCTCTACACCCCAGGCTCAAGTCCAGAAAGTCCCTGTGATACAACTCTCCAGGGATTTTCCCTGAGGTCCAACCTAGTAGGTGCTTAAAAAGTCTTTGTTGTAAATTTAAATAATCCAAAACTACCACGCTGCTATTTCCTCCTATCTGTCTTCCTGTGCCTATCATAAGCTGTGCCACCTGGGGAAAAACATGTTTCAGCTAAATTTAGAACAGGGAAGCTTTTGGTTCAATAATTCCACTTCTAGTAATAGATTCTAAGGAAATAATCAGATTTGAATAAAGATAAGTGTACAATAATATTCCAGGCAATGATGTTTTCAATAGTGTAAAGCTGCGATTAACCTAATTTGAGAAATAGCCAATAAGAAAATGGTTAACTTTGAGAGGCCAGGCACATGGCTCACGCCTGTAAGCTCAGCACTTTGAGAAGCTGAAGTGGGAGGATCGTTTGAGCCCAGGAATTTGAGACCAGCCTGGGCAACAGAGCGAGACACTATCTGTACCCCCCCCCCAAAAAAAATCAAATTTAAAAATTTTTGAAAAAGAAATGGCTAACTAATGGAATGGGGCATGCATAAGACAGAGTATACAGATCTGGAAGGAAAAAGAATCCCAAATGTGAAGGAGCAGAAGCACAGCTGGAGAGCTCACTACTCCAACTTGCTAGGAAACTTTGAGAGAAGCACAACCCAGTAGAGAGTAGAAGTTGTAAAGTGTCTTCATGCACTTCTCTTTTTTCCTTCCCCATCTGTAAAATGAGAATAATCCCACTTGCCTTTTTGTTGGAGGTTTGTGAACCAGGGCAACTCCATCTTGAATAGGGGCTGGGTAAAATGAGGCTGAGACCTTCTGGGCTGCATTCCCAGGAGATTAGGGCATTCTTAGTCACAGGATGAGATAGAGGTCAGCGCAAGATACACGTCATAAAGATTCTGCTGATAAAACAGTTTGCAGTAAAGAAGCCGGCCCAAACCCACCAAAATCAACATGGCGATGAGAGTGACAGCTAGTCCTCCTGGCTTTTACACTCCCACCAGCACCATGACAGTTTACAAATGCCATGGCAACACCAGGAAGTTATCCCAGATGGTCTACAAAGGGGAGGCATGAATAACCCACCCCTTGTTTAGCATATAATCAAGAAATAAGCATAAAAATGGGCAACCAGCAGCCGTCGGGGCTGCTCTGCCTATGGAGTAGCCATTCTTTTATACTTTGACTTTCATAATAAACTTGCTTTCACATTACGCTATGGACTCGCCCTGAATTCTTTCTTGTGAGAGATCTAAGAGCCCTCTCTTGGGGTCTGGATTGAGACTCTTTGTGTAACATTTTGAGCCATGGTGGCAGGCGCCTGAAATCCCAGCTACTCAGGAGGCTGAGGCAGGAAAATAGCTTGAACCTGGGAGGCAGAGGCTGCAGTGAGCCGAGACTGCACCACTGCACTCCAACCTGGGTGACAGAGGAAGACTGTGCCTCCAAAAAAAAAAAAAAAGAAAGAAAAGAAAAAAGAAAACTATAAAGCATTATTTGTTTTTGTTTGTTTGTTTTAATAAAGGAGAATTATTACCAAGAGGTGATAACCAAGGTGAGAAGCCTTTCCTTCACCACGAGCAGTCATTGTTCAAGAGACTGGAGGAAGAAATTTCATATTTGAGCCATTCTAGTATTGCAGGAGCTGCAGGAATATAGTGGCTGCTCCAGTTGGGCTCTGTAGAAGGAAATTGGCATGTATTCTGTGCCCACAGCGTGTCAGGTACTCGGTAACATGTTTCACATTCATTGATACCTAAGTATATGCTGGGAGGCAGAGTGAGCCTGTTTCTAGCAATTTCCATCCTAGCCCTGGACAATACATTGCTAGTCACTGAAATGCTCAATATTAAAGTAATCTATATAGCATATAAAACATTTATGGGTCTGGTCTTACCCTCTAGTTACTGTGTCACATGGAGTTCTCTCCATTAATGGCTATCAGAAGAGGATAATATTAATAATGTTTTGGTTAATTAATAAGGCAAATAACTAATAGTTAATTCTGTCTTCCAAAGGGACCAGCCAGCTTCACTCTGTCTCAGGTCAGATTAATTTATAACATCTCAGCTTTCTTACATACAACATGAATTAGTCAAAAGACTACGTCAAGGCTGGTCATGGTAGCTTATGCCTGTAATCATAGCACTTTGGTAGGCCAAAGTGGAAAGATCACTTGAGATCATGAGTTTAAGACCAGCCTGGGCAACATAGCGAGACCTGATCTCTACAAAAAAATTATAAAATTAGAGGCATTGTGGTGTGCCTGTCATCCCAGCTGCTCAGGAGTCTGAGGTGAGAGAATCGCTTGAGACCAGGAGTTCTGGGCTGCAATGAGGTACGATCCTGCCATTGCACTCCAGCCTGGGAGAAAGAGCAAGACCCTGTCTCTAAACTGAAAACTAAAAAAAAGATTAAGTCAAAGTATTATGTAATATACTGTGTCTTTATCTATTTCCTAAACACCTGGGAAATTCTCAATTTCAAAATATAGGGGTTTCAGAGAAAGAATTTCAGACCTGTATTTTATTATCCTTTCTTGGCAGGAGACCCTGACAACCAGATCACATGAGAAAACGCGCCATCTGGTGGTTGCAGTGGAGAACCACGCCACAAGACAGCCAGATGAGGAAGAAAGGCCTGGATCCAAGACAAGTACCCTCAGGGCCACAACCCAGAACAATTCCTTCTGGAGGACATTATAAAATGTCTTCAAAGTCCGGGCGGGGTGGCTTACGCCTGTAATCTCAGCACTTTGGGAGACCGAGGCGGGCGATCACGAGGTCAGGAGATCGAGACCATCCTGGCTAACACAGTGAAACCCTGTCTCTACTAAAAATACAAAAAAAAAAAAAAAAAATTGCCAGGGGTAGTGGTGCGTGCCTGTGGTCCCAGCTACTCCGGGGGCTGAGGCAGGTGAATCGCTTGAACCTGGGAGGCGGAGGTTGCAGTGAGCCGAGATTGCACCACTGCACTCCAGCTTGGGCAACAGAGTGAGACTTCTCAAAAAATAAATAAACAAATAAATGAAATAAAATGTCTTCAAGGGCTGCCTGTGTGGACAGATGAGATGTTACTTCAGCTTAATAAGTTACTATTCAATGTATTAACGTAACAAAAACATGACTTAAGCTTTTTGAAGTTCAGCTTATAGGCCAGGTGCGGTGGCTCACACCTGTAATCCCAGCACTTTGGGAAGTCAAGGTGGGTAGATCACTTGAGGTCAGGAGTTCAAGATCATCCTGGCTGAGATGGTGAAACCCCATCTTTACGTAAAATACAAAATCTTACGCGGGAGTGGTGGTACACGCCTGTAGTTCCAGCTACTCAGGAGGCTGAGATGGGAGCATCGCTTGAACCTAGGAAGCAGAGGTTGCAGTGAGCCGAGATCATGCCACTGCACTCCAGCCTGGACAACAGAGTGAGACTCCGTCTCAAAAGAAAAAAAAGAAAAAAAAAGTTCAGCTTATAAATCTTATTGTAAAAACCTAGCAAATATTAATGACTTCTAAGGGATTTTGAATATCCCACTTAAAAACTTAAATTCCTTTAAACCTTTTCAAGTATGTTTATACATTTAATATATTAAGTTGCCTTTTGTCAATGGGCACAAAATACAAACAAAATAAAAGCAAACAAAATACTATTCTTTCTTTTCCTTCCTTCCTTCTTTCTTTCCTTCCTTTTTTTTTTTTTTTTCAATTTGAGACAGAGTTTTCGCTCTTGTCGCCCAGGCTGGAGTGCAGTGGCACAATCTTGGCTCACTGCGACCTCCGCCTCCCAGGTTCAAGCGATTTTCCTGACTCAGCCTCCCAAGTAGCTGGGATTACAGGCGCATGCCACCACACTCGACTAATTTTTGTGTTTTTAGTAGAATCGGGGTTTCACCATGTTAGCCAGGCTGGTCTCGAACTCCTGACCTCAGGTGATCCGCCCACCTCGGCCTCCCAAAGTGCTGGGGTTACAGGCGTGAGCCACACGCCTGGCCAAAATACTATTCTTAAAAGTTCTGATACTGTGTACTTGTATGTTTCCAATACATAGTATAAATTTCCAATACTGTATGTAAAATTGGTTGCAACTTAAAATTGCAAGTTTAAATTGATTACTCAAGTACATATTTCTAAATTGCAATAACAATTACCTTCCCAAGCACTATCTGAGTTGCTTTATCAGTTTGCAAGATTTCCTAATCCTAAAGTGAATCCTGGCCAGGATGCAGGTGAATTAAGCATCTGCAACCTAGACTGGAAAACTCTTTGTTCGATATCCTTTTCTTTCATGTTTATTCTCTGTTTCTGCTCTCACACAGAGATCCCTCTTCTTACCTAACAGATTGCAAATCAAATGCTTTCTGTTACATCTTTATCTTTATACCTAACACAACTTTTATACCTGGGATCAGCAAACTTTCTGTAAAGGGCCAGATAGTAAGCATTTTGGGTTTTGTAAGACATTTGTTTGCACCTATTCAGCTTTACCACTGTGGCACAAAAGTAGCCATAGACATTTCATAAATGAATGAGTGTGGCTATGTATTAAAGTTCCATTTATGGACACTAAAATTTGAATCTCATATAATTTTCACATGTCACAAAATATTAGTGATTTTTTTCAACTGTGTAAAAATGTAAAAACCATTCTTAGCTTGTGAACTACACAAACACAAGCAGTAGGCCAGTTTGGCTGCTGGGAGAGCTATAGTTTTGCCAACCATTGCCCTAACCCAGTGTTTCATACCCATTAGCAGAGAAGTACAGCTGTTAATTCTTCTTTTACATTCTTTCAAAATTTACAAATTTCTCTAGAAATGTCCTTAATTCAGAAGTTATTTGGTGGGGAAGACTTTGTTCAGTATCCATAACCAAGGAACACTCTGGAGTAGTTTCTTGCAACCCCACTCGTCACTCGTCACTTTTTTTTTTTTTTTTTGAGACAGGGTCTCACTCTTCTACCCAGGCTGGAGTGCAGTGGCGTGATCAGGGTTACACTGCAGCCTTGACTTCCTGGGCTCAAGCAATCTTCCTACCTCAGTCCTCAAAGTTGTTGGGACTACAGGTGTGCACCACCACACCCAGGTAATTTTTTAAATGAGTCTCACTAATGTTGCGTAGGCTGGTCTCCAACTCCTGAGCTCAAGCAATCCTCCCACCCTGGCCTTGCAACGTGCTGGGATTACAGGAGAAAGCCACTCCGGTTTCTTGTCGAACCCTCTGTGTATTACTTTAGTGGTGACGTATTGTCAGTGAAATACTTTTTTTGTATAGACATGTAAAATGCTGTTTTTCTGTTGATTTTATTTTCCTTTACTAATCCAAAAGCCTTCACCTTTATTTTTGGTCTAAGATGTCCCTAAATAGAGCACAATTGATTTTTAAAGTTTTCTCGATCAAGCTGGTCGGATTTTGTGATCTTCAAATTCTCATTGAACAAAATTTTAACTTTGAAATAAACAAACAAAAAAGTAGCAAGTATATTACAAATAATTTTTTCCAGACCCATCCGAAAGTGAATTGTTGACTTGATAACCCATCACTTCTAATACTTTAGTGTTGATTTCCTACAAACAAGCATTCTGTATAACCACAGATCAGCCATTAACATTTGGAAATTAACAGATATTACTATCGCCGCATCCTCCAAGCTCTTTCAAGTTTTACCAGTTGTCCCTATAAAGTCCTTTATATCTTTATATAGCAAAATGAACAAGTTCAGGATAGCATTTGGTTGTTGTATTAGTCTCCTGCAGTTCTTTAGTCATTCGTTGACTTTGATACCTTAGACGAGCCAGTCCTTTTGTAAAATGTCCTTCAATATGGATTTGTCATATAAGGGATGCTGTATTCTTCTCAGTGCAACCTATCAAGTGGCAAAGATCTAGATTTGTCCCATTACTGAGGTTCATTTCTTTCCATTGATTAAGGTGGTCTGCCAGACTTCACTACTGTGAAGCTACTCTTTTCCCCATTATTGTATTTAAGAAATACTTTACAGAAGGCTGCTTTGAAAGTATATATAGACTGGGCACGGTGGCTCACACCTGCAATCCCAGCACTTTGGGAGGCCGAGGCGGGTGGATCACATGAGGTCAGGAGTTGAAGACCAGCCTGGCCAACATGGTGAAACCCCATCTCTACTAAAAATACAAAAATTAGCCCGGTGTGGTGGTGGGAGTCTGTAATCCCAGCTACTCGGGAGGCTGAGGCACAAGAATCACTTGAATCCGGAAGGCAGAGATTGCAGTGAGCCAAGATCACGCCATTGCATTCCACCCTGGGCGACAGAGTGAGCCTCCATCTCAAAAATAAATAAATAGAATAAAAGAAAATATGTACATATACCATTCCTCATTAAATTTCTATTTACTTATTCAGTCATTCATTTCTATTAGCAGAGTCATAGTTTTCTATTTTGTTACAATGGGTTACAAGTCATTACGATTCTGATGCTCAGATTGTCTCAGATTTACCCCATGTAAATCCCTTAAAGCTGGCTTATGTATTCTTTTTTAAGCCCTTCCTTGCTTTCTGGCTTATCTTGTACTTTTTTTGCTCTGCCATGAAATCAATCATTTCTCCAGTGAGTCCTGGCTCCTTTCAGTGGAGAATGTAGTGCCTAGACAGATTTCAAAGGATGCCTTGGAGAGTTTTGAGTTCCAGGCACAGAACTGCCACAGGGGCAGGGCTACTGCGGAGTTCCCACTAGGGCAATGCCTAGTGGAGCTATGGAAGCAAGGTGACCTCAAGAACCCAGAACAAACTCCAGCCTGGGAGAGCTGCAGACATGAGACTCCAACCTGAGAGTTGTCACATGGGCTGCACCAAGCAAAGCTTTTGGAGCCCAAACCCCACCCCAGTGTGTCCAGAGGTAGGGCATGGAGTCAGATTATTCTGAAGCTGTAAGATTTAACATGTGACCTGTTGGATTTTAGATTCGACTGGAATCTGTTACTCCTTTTTTCTTTCCTATTTCTCCCTTTTGGAATAAGAATGTTCCCTATGCCTACCCCACCATTGTATTTTGGAAGTACCTAACTCATTTGATTTTACAGGTTCACAGATGGAGAACAATTTGTCTCAGGATGAATTGTATCTTTTTTTTTTAAGATGGAGTTTCGCTCTGTTGCCCAGGCTGGAGTGCAGTGGTACTATCTCAGCTCACTCACTGCAAACTCTGACTCCCAGTTTCAAGCGATGCTCCTGTCTCAGCCCCTGAGTAGCTAGGATTATGGGCACCCATCACCAGGCCCCGCTAATTTTTGTATTTTTAGTAGAGACAGGGTTTGGCCATGTTGGCCAGGCTGGTCTCGAACTCCTGACCTCAGGTGATCCATCCGCTTCAGCCTCCCCAAATGCTGGGATTACAGGTGTGAGCCACTATGTCTGGCCTTGGATGAATTATATCTTGAGTCTCACCTGTATCTGATTTAAATGAGACTCTAGACTTCTGAGTTGGTGCTGGAATGTGTTAAGACTTTAAAGGGTATTGAGATGGATTGAATGTATTTTGCATATAAGGAGGACATGAATTTGGGAGGCCAGGGATGGAATGCTGTGATCTGAATGCGTCCCTCAAAATTCATCTGTTGAAGCTTAATTGCCAATGTGATAGTATCAAGACGTAGGGCCTTTAGGAGCTCTGTCCTCATGAATGGGTTGAATGACCTTAAAAAAGGACTGGAGGGAAATAGGTAGGTCCTTTTTGCCCTTCTACTTTCTGCTATATTAGGATGCATAAGAGGCACCATCTTGGAAGCAGGGAGCAGCCCTCTTCAGACACCAAATCTGCCAACGACTTGACCTTGGACTTCCCAACGACTTGACCTTGGACTTCCCAGCCTCCAGAACTGTGAGAATATCAATTTCTGTTCTTTATAAATTACTTAGTCTCAGGATTTGGCTGGAGCAGCAGAAACTGACTAAGACAAATACTTTGTTACATCAGAAGACACTAGTCAGTAATCCCAGTACTTTGGGAGGCAGAGGCAGGAGGATCACTTGAGCCCAGGAGTTTGAGATCAGCCTGGACTTCATGATGAAACTCCATCCTTACCAAAAATACAAAAAATTAGCTGAGACTGTGGTCCCAGCTACTTGGGAGGTTGAGGTGGGAGGATCACTTGAGCCCGGGAGGCAGAAGTTGCAGTGAGCTGAGATCAAGCCACTGTACTCCAAGCTGGGTGACAGAGTGAGACTTTGTCTCAAAAAAAAAAAAAAAAAAACCCAGACACTGAGACCACTTCAGAAATGGATACAGGTGTAGGAGGAAGCTGAAGTTTACGTAACTTTGGGGGCATTCTTTAGAAATTAGGTCTTAGAAGGAAC